CCCTGAGTGTTTTAGAAACTAAGAGAGCATTCACCATGCACTATTCATGTGGTTTACCTATATTAACTATTTTAATCATAACAATAACCCCATGACATAGGGATTTATATTATCATCCTTAAATTAGAGATGAGAAAACTGAGGTGCAGAGATGTCATTTAGCTTGTTCAAAGTCAAATAGCTAGTGAGTGGTGGAATCTGGATTTGGACCCCGGTAGTCTGAATCCAGAGTCCCTGGTCTCAACTACTATCCATATATAGTTTTATTGCTATATTTCTGATATCCGGAGAAATGAAACACTTCCTAAACATTTTACCTAATATTTCTCTTATTATTTGAATTATTTAAAAACCTATTATTGGAAATGTCAGGAAGTTAATGCAAGATTTAGATGGCCAGGGACTGGTGAACTTCAGCCTTTTCTGCCTTTATCCACCATGCATATTCCACAATAAGTGAGCTAATGTATGTTCATTACAGTATTTATTAAAACAAGCCTATCAGGATATCTTCTTGACAAATGTTAATTAATTGTAGCTGCCTCCTTGACAACTGTTAATTAATTGTAGATGCCTGATAGAAATTGAGTGGTTTGTCTTTGTAAATATTCTAGAATTCAGACTTTTTACTGGTAAAGAATCATTAATTCATGCCTGTGTGTATGTCTTCATTTAACAAACCCTGATTGAGAAGTTGTACTGTAAATAAAATTGGCAAATTACTTGCTCTCACAGAGGTTAAATCGAGCAGAGGGAGAAAAACAATTAGCAAATAAACAAATAAAAATAGGATATTTTCAGTGGTGTTAAGAAGGAAGTAAAACGGGGTAACATATAAAGTGAAGGCCAGCAGGATACTTTCTTTTGGATGCTGGAAGATGGATTAATATATGAGCTGAGATGAGGAAAAGGAGCTGGCTATGAGAAGATTCACAGGAAGAACATTACAGGCAGGAGAAACAGCAATGATCAAAGTAACAATCATAGAAAATTTACACATTTTGACAATTTTTATATATATGATATGACTATATATTGGTGAATATTATTTGATATAACCAATTTTATTAGAACTTGCTCCTTAAGATAACTGAGTTAATGTAGAAATGAATCTAAATAATCAGCAAGATATTTGGTTCAGATGGGTGAAGATCAAATTGTCAGCATTACTGATGGAGAACATGTCCCAAACTTGTGACCAAGTTCTTATATTTGCTCCCTGACCTATGGTGGTGATCACGTTTCCAAGGCCAGCCATTTGTATGGGGAAGTCACACCAATGGACTTCGGGTGGGGACAGAGAGACAGGCCTGAGACCCACAGGTGCTTACTTTACCAAAAAAGGAGTAGAGCCAATGAATGCATCCTGCAAGCAGGCTGGCTTAAAGAGCATAAGGGCAAGCCATGAGGGAACTCCCCTAGTAGAGTAAGGAGGTGACAAATGGAGGTAAGATGCTCACCTTCCTACCAATCAGGAAAGGGAGGGGACATTTGGCAATGTCTGGAGACATTTCGGTTGTGACAACTGTGGAGGGAGCTACTGATATCTGGTGGATCAAGGTCTTAGATGCTGCTAAACACCCCACAATGCACAAGATAGTCTCTCAGAACAAACAGTTATCTCACACTCAATGTCAGTAGTGCCAAGGTTGAGAAACACTGCATCCCAGAAGTCCCCTTTTCCAGCTATTAGGGTAGGACAATAGGGTTTCCTGCAACAAACACTAATGGAAATTTTGAGTTCACCTTGGACCAAAATCTTTTACATCCTTTGAGGATACATGTTAATATTACATGTACAAGATTACATATATAATATTATCTTAAGCTGCAATCTCAGTAAAATCAGTTGATCATATCTCAACTTATATGTACTTGCAGTATTTCATTATTTCTTTTTACATGTGCGAATATATGTGAGTCGTATATAAAGTTTCTCCAAAACCCAGCTCAAATGTCACCTCTTCTTGAAATTATTACTAATTACTGAACTGTTAGCTTCTCCTTCCTCTGAGCTCCTATGGCAATGTATACATACTTTTATCCTAGCACTTATCCTTCTGTGAAGTAATTAATCATTTAAAAGTCATTCCCATTTAGAAAATAAGCCCTTTAGAGTAGAGGCTGTGCAGGATGTGCTAAACATCCTGCAACGCACACGATAGCCCCCAATGTCAAAGAATTCACCATTTCAAAATGTCAGTAGTGGGAGCGGGGAGGAGGGGACGGGTATATGCATAAACAAAGAGTGCGATGCGCACCATCCGGGGGATGGACACGCTTGAATGCTCGGACTTGGCGAGGGGCGGGGGGAGTAAGGGCAACATACATAACCTAAACATCTGTACCCCCATAATATGCTGAAAAAAAAACGTCAGTAGTGCTAAGGTTGAAAAACCCTGCATCTCAGAAATCTCTGTAACTCCAAGTGCCCACAGGGTGCCTGCCATAAAGAAGCACAAACTATTTAAGTGAGCGAATGAATGTTCATAAAGAACACTAACATCAAAATATTATGAGTTGTATTTTATTTTTCTAAGTCTTACTTGTTTGTATCCTCATGAAATTAAAAACTTATTACATATGTTCATCTAAAAGGAACTTTTTTTGGACAATTTGACAGAATAATTATAGTTTAGCAAATAGCATGCGAACAAGGAAAGCAGTAGGCTGTGTTACGGACTGTCTAAAGTTTTGTGGGTAGGTAAAGACAGTCAATTTTAAAGGTGTAAAATATAGGAAATAATATTAGATGTCATCTTTAAAAAACAGAAATAAGAATGTAATAATTTTAAAGGAATAAAATGTAAGAAAGCATATTGGAAACACAACTTCAAAAATGGAAGAATGTAACGATAGAATGAAACTGTAGTAAGAGAGTAACAGTAATTAAAATTTGAAGGAAACTAGAATCATAAAAATAAAATGAGTTAAAATTAAAATAACACAAAAGGTATTTTATGTAAAATAACTTAAATATGCTTCAGGAAATAGGTCAGAAAGCCACATGAGAAAGCTTTTTTTCTCCCCCAGAACAAGCAAAAGAAATGTCAAAGGAATAGTAGGAAGCTGTATTATTTAATATAAATTTAAAGTATAGTTTCTAGGTATGAAGTTATGAACCAAAGGTTTTAAAAGCAGTAGCCTAAAACTATAATGGGAAAAGAAAAAGGCTTAGAGGTGGCATAGAGGCTACCTTTCCCCCCGACACAAAAGGAAACAATCAGATTTAAACTACTCTAAGAGAAATGTAAGAAATAATAGTTTCCTTATACATTGTCTTAGTCAGACAACATCTAGAGAGCATCTAGAGAGTAGTGTTCAATTCTAAGTGCCACTTGGCCCTCAGAGAAAGGGTCGGCTCATTTTAGGCTCAGCAGTCCATATGGTCTCTGTCTCAACTAAATTCTGTGGTTGTAGCACAAAAGCAGCCATAGATATGTTAATGAATGGATATGGTTGTGTTCCAGTAAAGATTTATTTATAATACAAAAGCAAAGGTGCCAGATTTGGACCTGCCCAGTTTTGGAAAATAAACATTGACAAATTTTAGTAGGTTGAATTTGGAGAATGTGTGTTTAAGGGTCTGGAAACCCTATCATATAAGAAATAATTTAAGAGATCACTCATATTATATTTAGCCTAGAAAAAGATAAATCCTATAACTAGTAAAATTTGCTTTAGGACACTCGGGTACAAGATGCCACTCCTTTCTTCATTTAGTAAAATGAATTTTGTGTTGGTCCTCAACCACAGGGCTGTGAAAAAAAAATTTATTCTCACTTTTATATTATCAGTGAGAAATACAGAGTTCATAGAATCCAGGAAATTGTCAAAGGGCCTCTGGTCTTCAGCTCATTGAGGTTCTCACCTGAATACCTGTTGCCTAAGACTACGTGGCCAAATCAAATGTAGGTGACTCTACTGCTCCTGTGATCATTTCTTGTTCACTTGTCACATTTAACCACGTGGTCCTTCACCTAGGTTCCCAACGCTTTGGTGCTCATTCTTTGTTTGTTGGGCCTGTGGTTTCAGAGAAAGGTTTGAGAGAATCTGCCACTCAGTATTCCCAGGTTGGGAAGAAAATCTAATTCTCTCTTCACGGGCCCCAGCTACTACCCATCCCTTTCCCTAAAAGCACCTATTCAGGGGTATAGATTTGGTGAGAGGTAAAGCAGATGGTCTCCTTAAAATGCTGCCCAAGGTTTTTTTGTTTTTTGTTTTTTTAATTTTTTTATTTCAGCATATTACAGGGGCACAAATGTTTAGGTTATGTATATTGTCCTTGACCCACCTGAGTCAAAGCTTCAAGTGTGTCCATCCCCCAGACGGTGCACTGCCCAAGGTTTTGCAACTGTCTTTAGACTATTGGTAGTCCCACACGGGCCCTTCTGGGTATCTTGAAACATATTTGAATATCTGGATAGGGAAATGAAGCACATACATATGAAAAAATTTATAATTAAAGAAAGTGTATGATAAATTCCAAGTAAATCATGGGGGAAAAAAATGGTATGTGATTTAAAAAGGAGAGATCATATTCAGGTAGATAATATTTGATTCCTCAAATCTTTATTTCCAGTGAAGACTTTTACCTGAGCTCCAGACACACACACACATACACACACACCCTGCCCCCACACACACCTTTTCCTAATATAAGTGTCTCACATTCACCCAAAGTCAATATAGTTTTAAAATACAATTCATTACATCCAACCTGTCTGCACCTTGTATTTATTCCATTCTAATAATCCCACACTTCTACTCAATCTAGAAACCATCTTTAATTTCTTCCTTCACGTCCCACATCCAAGCAGTCATCATCATTAACCAAGTCACGTCTTTCTCCAAAGCATCTCCCATATCTGCCACCATGTTATCCATGTTTCCATTGCCTTATTTCTGGCCCCAGTTATATCTCACATGAATTTCAAGGAAGTCTCTTATCTGGACTCACTGCTTGCACATCTTCTCCCCCTTTCTCATGCCATTCCAAGCTGCCAAAGTGAGTGTTTTAAAATACAAATCTGATCTCTTTTTCCTACCTGAATCTTAAAGTCTTCCATTGCCTTCAAGCTAAAACTGAAACTCCTTGGCTTGACATATAATATAAGATAACCTCATGATCTGACCCATGCTTACATATTATTTATTTTTTACTAGTTTTCTTATTACTTATTATTCCCTACTATGTCTTATTTCTTACTATTCTTACTAACCTGCAGTTGGTTGAATGAGCCATGTTCTCTTTCAACCCACCTCTTTGACGTTTCCTCCCGAAGTGGCCATCTCCCCTGACTCTGCAGCCTGACCAGCTCCTCCAAAGTGAAGCCTCGGTAAAGCCTCCTGTTTTCTACTTCCACCTCCTCAAGGCTGAAAAAGTACCTCTCCTCTGTGTTCTCCAGCAACCTACACTGCATTTCCTATGGCATTTACCCTCATTGGTAGAAATTATTGATTCTCTTAGCTATTTCTCTCAAGATTATGAGGTACTTAATAAGAGGAACAGCATCTTTCATCTTGATAACACTTGGGAGATAATAGGAAATCGATATATTTATGTTATCAAATAAATAATTTTGATCAATGAATGGGTAAAGGTATACTGAAGAGAACCAAGTGCATTAGCAAAGCCTTAAAACTTAGAAAACTGGTCTTCTCAAAATCACCACTAATCTCCATGTTGTTAAATCAAGTAGTCAGTTCTCAGTTCTATCTACAGGCTTCGTCACAATTTGTCCTGGCATCCATCTTGAAATGTTTTCCTTACTTGACTTCCAGGTCTTTACATTCTTCTGATTTTTCTCCTATGGCCCTAGTCACTTCTCAGCATTTTTTGTTGGTTCATCCTCACATCCTCTTAGATCTATTCTCTTCTGATCTATACTCAGTTCCTTGTTGATTTCATCGTCTCAAGACTTCACGTACCATCTTTATGTTATCATGCTCAAATACTCTATCTGTCCTGGACTTCTTCCCTCACTCCAGACTTGTATATACACTGCCTGATTAACATCTCTAGTTGGCTCCACAATAGAAATTTCCAACTTAACACTTCTAAAACCGAACCTCTGATCTACCCAAAACCCTGTTCCACCTGATCTTCCCCATCAATCAATTGAAATTTCATCTTTCTAGTTGTTCAGACCAAAACACACTTCCAGTCACACGTGACTCTACTATCTCACACCCCCCACAGCCAATCCATCAGCAAGAGATTTGGCTTTAATCTTAACTATACCCAGAACCCAACCACTTCTCAGCACCTTTGCAACCGCCACCGTGGCCCCAGACATCATTGCCTTTTGTGTGGCTTATTATATTGGCCTCCTATTTGATCTCCCTACTTCCACTGCTATCCCCCTCAGTCTAGTTACAAGCCTGCAATCACAGATATCCTTTTAAAACAAGTCACTTCAGAAACATCTTTGATCAAAACCCTTCAGCAACGCTCCATCTTACTCAGAATGAAAGCCAAAGTCTCGACGTTGAACATAAGACCCCATATTATACAACTCCCCATGATATCAACTCCTCATGCCTCCTCCACCTCCCTCATCCTGGTCTCCTAGGATGTCTTCAAGCAAGGAACATGTACCTGTTTTAGAGTCTTTGTAGGAGAACTTTACTCTTTGTAGATGTGTTGACACACTCTTTCATTTCCTTTAGCCATGGCTCCAATTCCTCATTTAGGCCTTCCTTGCCTGATCACTCTGTTAAAAATTAAATCCCTGTATGAATTCTCCCTATCTACCTCCTCTGCTTAGGTTTTCTGCATAGCATTTGAACCTTCTAATATATTATTTTATTTTACTTAGTTATTTTGTTTACTGTCATTCTCTTTCTACTGGATGCAAAGTCCTTTTGGGGCAAAAATTCTTACCTTTGTTCATTGCTGTACTCCAGATCAGCACATAATAATCTTACAATAATCTCTCAATAATAGTTTCTGAGTAAAGAAAGAGTACACACATTTTTTCCATTTCTGAGTGCTTGACAGTGTCTGGACTGTAGCAGTTTTCCATTTAAACTTCATAAAAGCCCTGTAAGATGATTTCTACATCCATGTTAAAGATGATAAAAGTAAGATTTCTAATATTTGAGTCAGTGATATTTCTTTTCTGTATAGGTGGGACTTAAGAACAGCATTCTGGTTAGTGGGGAGACAAAACCCTCTTTCAGAAAAACACTCTCTTTCCTTACGTTGTGTGTTCACTTGAGAGTACTTTGAAAAATGCTGACTGTATATGGAGCGTGCTTGGGTTCCCCTAACCTTTGACACCAACTCTTGCCCAAGGTTTTGCAATCCTTCAAAGCTGTAGCAGCATTCACATCAATATGTTTAGGAGACAATGAATACAACAATTTTTCTCTAACAGAAGTTCATTTATGGGAGAAGATAAAGATAAGACTGATGATGAAATTGTGCTATACTGTAGAGTTGTAGGATGCTTTGCTAAGAATTGAGTTTGTCCATTGGTTCCCAAACCTGTGATGACTCTTAAAAATATCTATAGTGGGGCCCCACCCTATATATTCTTTTGGTGTAGATATTTAACAGTCTTCTCAGGTTTTTGTTAAGCAGCCAGCCTTGTACTTCAACCTTTCAGTGGCATTTGGAAATTGATGTTATAGATCATGATAAGCTACTAAAGGTTTTCAGATGGCAGTTTGCATACATTTCTGTGTTTTTGAATTTACTTCTTGCTAAAGAATACCCCTATTTTTGTGCACTGTCCAATCAGGTAAATCTGGTGGGGGTGCAGGTGGAATGTCTTTCAAAGCAATGTATCATGCACTGCCTCACAGTAATATTTCTCTGCATCTGTTATAGGTCAATGCACAAACTGGCCCAGTTGGAAAGACTTGACCTAGGCAATAATGAATTCAGCGAGCTGGTAAGCAAATGCCTTTTCTAAACTTGATAAATACACTCCAAGAGGTTATTTCTTTTGCTCTGTCTTTGTAAGCCCAGGCATTAAATCGAGTGCACATTTATATTTGCTAAATATAATAAATAAAATCTGAGAGTTAAAGTGATTGTTTGACTATATAGTGAGCCTCAGAGAACTGAATAATCTTAGGGTTCACTAAAAAAAGAATTTGAACAAGATGCAAATTGACAGTTTTGAGTACCAACTATGTGGCAGGCACCATGTTAAGTGTGTTATGTACGTTATCTCATTTAATTTGACATATTGCCATTTTAACTTTATGGAAATGAGCTCAAAGTGGACACTGACATGCATAGCTATCAATATTATGCAGTTGAACAGGAATTAAACTGAAACTTGATTAACTACAAAGTCCATACCTTGAAAACTTCTGCCTTGGAGGCTGCTTGGTGGCATAGCATGGGAGAAGTGAGTCACTAACGGCGTTCTATTTCCAGTTGTACTGAAAGTGTCTTTCTAGTGAACACACGTTACTACCTCACTGCCAGTGAGATTGACAGAATTATGTCTGCTCTTTTCAGGTGTTAGTTTTCTTTAAAATTTGCCTGAAGACCAAAATCTCAAACATAGGTTAGGAAGCAAATACTCCTTTACAAGAAGATCCAGCTTTCTTTATTCAGAAATCTTCTACTTGGATATCTTCAATTTCAAAAATCTAATTCATCTACAGTGTATTTAACTGTTTTTAAATTAAAACATTTAAGTAATCAGTTTTTTCCTGTCCCAGCTCTCTAATTATGTGGACTTTGTGCAAGTTGCTTAACCTCTCTAAACCTCATTTTCCTAATCTATAAAATGAGAATTATAATAATTCCTCTATCACACGGGGCATGTATGAAAATTAAATAAGATGATACATGAACGGGGCCTGGCAAAAGTTGTTCTTAGTAAATGCCAGGATACAGGGATGACGGGGTTCAATTCACACTGTATTCTGAATGCACAAAGAAAATTAACTTATTTTATTTCAACCATGGCTAATCTGATCATTATCCCAGCCTCTATCAACTGTTTATTAAGAGTAGAAACTGACTTTTATTCCTCTGTGAGTAAAAGTTTAATGTGATTTAAGAAATTAGATGATCCCTTTAGGTTTGTTCATCTATTTCTTTTTTCTTAAAGATGTGTTAGTAAAGTTTGTTCATCTTTCTTACATACAACTCCTGGTCTTTCATGTATCCTCTCCCCTTCCCCTATTTCATTCCCTAAGATGGAATTTGGTTATGTCCAAAGGAGGCTACATGTCTTTGGGACCTGGGTAAAAGGGACCCCTGGCCTTAGGCTGGTTTTTGGAAGTGTGCGGGCCGCACGTGTAGCCTCTAGGCTGCTGACTGCAGCTGATATTGCCTCTTGTGTTAAATTCTGAAGCTGTGGTCAGGTCTCTGGGCTCAGGCAAAACTTCCTGGAAGCATTGGCTTTCTTCCTCTTTGGGCATTGCTACACTCCACTTTCACTGGCTACAAGTGCAAAAGTCTCCATTGTGTCCTCCCTCCAGCACTAGGCTGAGCAGACCATCTCCAGTTTCTGTTGTGCAGCTCCCTCACCAGCCATAGTCCCAGTAGTGGCTCCATAGCCAGTCTGCTGGCTCTGAGAATCAAGACATGGAGCTTGCCCTAGTAGTTGAAAGAACATGGACAGTGGATTGAGACAACTGAGGTTTGCACTCAACTCCATCTCTGGCGAGCTGAATACCTTGGGGCCTATAGCACACTCTCTAACCTCAGCTTCCTCATCAATAAAATAAAGATAATAATCCCATCTAGCTCACAGGCTTCTTGAGAGAATTTATTGTGAGAGAATTAACAATAAACACTCAGTATGTTTCAGTGAATTCCAATTCTGTCAGGTATATCATTTTGCAAGTCTTTCATCTGGTTATTTGTGAATCAATATTTTACTGTAAAGATGTTGGTCAACAAACGTGAATAGGGTAGGTTTATTTTTTTAAAATAGACCTATTGAAAGTAAATTTAAAATTATTTTAATGTATGTTTTATGGTATCTAAGAAATCATCATCTGAGCAGAACAGTTTTTATTTTTCGATATGTCAGTATTTCATGTTAGGCACAAAATGAGTATCTTTTTCCACTTTTTTTTTTTTTTGCATTTGTCCTAGGAGGCTTTATTTGATAATGCTCAGTTATTTGGAGAGTATAATTGTGGAACTTCACATTTATAATGTTATTCACTTTTAATCAAATGTCTGACTGTTATTAGTCATATGCATGGAACTTGCTGTTGTTCCTTTGACAGTAAAAACTTTTAATGAGAAAATAAAAGACTTTGCTCTTTTGGAGATCTCTAAAAGCAATGTGTTGTGGAGGAGAGAGGATCAAATTCCATTCTGTAGCTAGATACTAACACCTAGGAGGTTATCATTAGATGACTTACTTTTGTATGACATGGTAAAGAGACAATGTGGAGAGTCGATAACTGTAAGTTTAAAAAAAAAAACTTAACATGTCAAAGTCTAATGAAAACAGAAGTTTATTTGCTTGAGAAGGAATGTGTAATAAATATTCCAAGAAAATTCTAAGTAGAAATATCTACTTATGGATGCATTTGTACTTATGAACAATTTTAAACAAAGAGAATTATCTCGTGTTTCTAAAAGCGATAACCACCAGAAGACAATGGCCAATGTTCTGGGAACGTAATAGATTCTTAAAGTTTTTTTTTTTTAATTCTTTCTTTCATGGATTGTTTTGCTCAATGTAAAACTAATAAATGTTCATTTAAGAAAATTTAGAAAGATGAAATATGAAAACGATAGTAAAAGTCATATATGATGTACGTATAACCATTACTAATATTTTTTGGTATATCTTCCCCCTCATCCCTGTTTTCTTTTCATTATTTCAAATGAGTATGATTAGGGGTCAGGTCAGAGATGGAACATTATTAGGTTGATGGATGAAGCTGGATAACATCAACCCTTAGCGATCCTCTGTGTACTCTGAGTAGAACTAAAAGTCACAGAATAATTAGGAGCTTCCCAACTGTTGTGGAACAGTTAGCGGGGCTGAAACAGATTCCTTGACTATCATGAGGCCCTATAGCCCTATGGTAGGTACATCTTCACTATCCAGTGAACTGAGTTCCTGTTGGTCCTGAACTGGTAGAGGAAATAATGGAGACCCCAAAAGAAAATCACCATGTGTAAGAAACATTCAGGAAAATGAGGCAGATTGAGTAGCAGAGCTTGGAGGATGAGGGGATCAGTAGATCCAGAAGCACAGTGAGGCCCTGATGACCATCCCTCAATCTAGACTGGATCATGGGCAGCAACCCACCCAGGACCACAGAGTGATGAGGGGCAGCAGAGGAGGAAGGCAGGGATACAACGGTTATTGGAGCAGGGGCTCCCTTCTGTGGGAGATTCCCTTGTCTCTGTCCCTTCCCATCCCCCACCAAGGGAACTTCTAAAAAGAATAATTAGGGAGGAGGATCTCAGGAAGGGTCCAATTTCCTGGTCCTGTGCTATTTGAGCAGAGGGAGGGTGGGTCAAAGAAATGAGATTTGAAATTTTACCGTAAATAAGGCGTAATACATACTGGTTATCTGTATAGATATTTCTATCTATTAATACCACATTGGAATTATAGTATGCATTCTATTTTCTATTAATGCATGATTATCAAATTCAAATAATTAGATTCCTTACAGGCATTAAAATTTAAAATCTTTCTTTGTAGCTTCCTAATTCAGTTGAATTAGAAAGACTGTCAAATAATAGCTACAAAACAAATAGTGAATTAAGACCTGAATTTAAGGGAAAAAAGTAAAACCAAAACAGCTTGATTTTTATTATATCAAATTAGATACATATACATTAATTATGTGTAATATGCATTTAAGTTACAAGCATAATAAAACACATCCTATGAACCCACTACCATGTTCTTACAAGCTAGAACAAACACTGCTAGTCATGCGCAGCTACCTGCATGCTTTTCCCCAACCCCCACATTCTGTCTTCCCCAGAGGTAGCAACAACCCTGAATTTGTTTAACATTCCTTTGCTGTAATTTTACCCCATTTGTATGGCTCTCTAAGTATTATATTGCTGTTCTTTGCTTTTTCTCAAAATGTGACCATACCACAACTTACTTATCCTTCCTTATCTTCATGGACACTTTTCTCCAGTTATTTCTTACACTGTTGCTATGAACATTCCTATACACACAGATGTGCAAGAGTTTATCTAAGGCATATACGTAAAAGTGGAATTTCTTTATCATAAGTTATGCACATATTCAGCTTTAAAAATAATGCTTTTAAAAAAAAATAGTTGTACTCATTTACCAACAATGTATAATAGTTACCATGCTTCACATCTTCACCAACACTTGATATTATCAGGCTTCTTATTTTTGCCAGTACCATGGCCATAGAATGGCATCTGATTATGATCTTAATTTGCATATCTCTGATTTCATGAGATTGATGATCTTTTTCATATGTTTGTGACAGTTTGTATTTTCTCTCCTGTGAAATACCTGTTTATGTATTTTTGTCCATTTTTTTACTGGTTTTATTTTTCTTGTTAACTTATAGGGATCTTTTATAAAAGTTAGGTACTAATTCTTTTTTAGTTATAGGTTCTACAGATCTCTGCTCCCTGTCTGTGGAGTCTTTTTACTTTCTACAACATGTCTTTTGATGAGTAGAAGTTCTTAATTGTAATATAATAAAGTAAATAAAATTTTTTGTGTCTAGCACATTTTATGTCTTGTTTAAGAAGTCCTTTCCTCCCCAAAGTCAAAAAGATCTTTTGTTTTCTTCTAAAAGATTGAAGGTTTCATTTTTCATAATCAAGTGTATTTCTATCTGGGCTTAATTTTTTGTAGTGTGTATTATTTTTGTTCAGATACTCAGTTTTCTAAGCAACATCTACTTCTTTTCCACATGAATATGGGTGTCACTTCCTAACAAAATATGA